AATTTTTTCGGAGCACATTATAAATAAAGCTACAATCAATCTCTCGATCTTTTTTTATGTTAAATCAGATTAACGACGCGTCACACGGTGCCACAACAATTATAAAAAATAAAAATATTAGGAGTACTCTCGATAAAGATTAAATTAATCTGACAAACACGATGGCGCAATAATCTCTTTTTCTGTTTTTACGACCTCTCGTCAAGAGTTTCCCGTCACGCGTGCGGTTGCGAAATGATGTTGTTTAAAGCCGCGCAGATAAAACTCACGCAATAAGGTTTGTTGAATATGCAATAGTACTTGCGGTGCGACTGCACCCGTGAATACAACAGGTACTCGGAAAATAAATTAACGATTTTTCGGAACGAAGATCGCGACAGGCAAAAAGAGAGAACCGCGCAACTTCTTTCGCGAGAAGGAACGCTTGCGAAAGAATAAATGCGACGTTTCTCGGACACTCCTTTCCTTATATCATCCGTTTCGTTTTATGGACGGAATAATGAGCGCCGGAGATTTCTTTCATTCGTATATCGCTCAATTGATTAATAAGCGCATTCAGAGGTCGATGGCGCCTATTAAGGCGTTAACGGCGACATAAAGACGGGACGTGTGAGAATTCCGTCGCGACGATAACGCGCGCGATACGCAACGAAAGAATTTGTGCGTGCGTGCGTGCGTCCGGGAATGTTGCAACCTCAAAACTAACCTGCGAGTCAGACAGACTGGATCTGTGAGACCCACGCGACTATATAAAATATCGAATATCTTCGCGGAAAATCAATAGTTTTTAAATTTTGTTTTTTTGTTTGTTTGTTTTTTTTTATATCGAAAGTTTGACCGATTCTGCGTCGAACAAAAATTGAAAAAATCTCTGGTAGTTTCAAAGATATAAGCTTTTTTTTAAAAAAATAATTTTTTACTAGAAACGCCGATGCGCAATTATTGAGTGAGTCTAGGTGACCCATGTCTGTCCGTGAAGGAATGAGACTATAATGAAACCACCGATCTTTCTCGAGAAACGACGAGCGGAAAATTGGATTTCAAGGTTGCGCAGGTGCGTAAATGGACGTCGATGACTCGCGCGTTTTGTTCCGAGCCGGCGTTTCCGATCGGATCCTTTCTTCGGCTTCCGCGAATTCGCGCGCTCGCCCTTCCTTTTCTCCTTCCTTCCTCTTCCCCATCAAACACTGCAAGTTAATTTGCGCGACGATTTTTTTTTTGTTATTTTCACAAAGACTATATTTCAGCTCGAGTGAATAAGCGGACGCGGTGACGCGTACGTGGAAAAATCGACGATATCGTCGCGCGTTGTGCGTGGATAACGAGATTTGATAAAAAATCCTGCGTGTTTTTCTGAGCAATAATGCGAGATCGTCCGCAACCTGACTCAACGCACTCGGTCAACTCGACTTCCGCTGACTCATCCGGTGCTTCGAATGACACACGTACGCGCGTGCTCTCTTTCTCTGTCTCTTCGATAAACAAAAAATTCCTTTCGACAACCGCGTGCGCGCGCACACGAGAGTGCGCCGGTCCCCCAATTCCCACGGGCACGGGAAAATGTGTGTAGCACCCGTGTGTGTATGGCCAATCAATCAGCCATTATTTCCTCGCGCCTGACGCGCCCAATTCAGCGGCGACGGCAGCGGCGGCGGCGGCGGTTGCAACCCCCGCGATACATAGGGGCTCTCGCATGAAAGTCAAACAGAAATAGCGTAACAAGACAAACACAACAAAGACCAAGCACGGCCGCTAAAAATAAGACAATAAGAAACGGACGGCGAGAGAAGCTGCCGAAACATATGCGGACAAAATAACCGATTACAATATCCCTCGTCTTCACCGAACTGACACTTTGACATTGCTGATTAGTTAAGAATATGGACGCGCGCGCGCACACCGCGGGTCGCGCTCTTCCTCTTTTGTTCCTCGTTTCATTCTTCGTTCTCTTTGTATCGATCCCTATTTCGTTCTCGAGAAAGAAAAAAAAAGACATCTGCTTCTCAGGCGCGCGCGCAGCCGCTGTCAAATTTGAAAATAAGGTAAAGCGCGGACGAGAGAGAAAAAAAAAACTAGGTGTCGGACCCGTATGGCGAATGAACGCGTGTCCCGCATGCAGATACGCGCGCCTCGTGCGCACGTGCTCGCGCGCTGCGCTACTGAAAAGTCGGCGGTCCGTCATAAGGGCAAACGAGAAAGTTAGCGGGGCTCGAAAAATGTACTCTGTACGTGAGGCGAGTGCGCGCGCGTACGGAGAGCCGCCGCGGCACTCACTCTCTCTCTCTCTGTGTGGGTCTATTTTTGGCCCGGTTACGGCGCGTGCAGCACCCTCCGACCCGTGTAAACACGCGACCAGAAACGACGGGGATGAAAGTCCCGGGATTCTAAAATGCGCTCGTAAACTAGCGAGCCGAACAAAAGAGAAACAGATTTGCTCTCGTGAGGACGAAAATGTGCACGCCATGTAAAAGAGAAAGAGAGAAAGAGAGAGAGAGAGACAGAGAAAATGGCAGATAATCGTAATAGCGGTTAATAATTTAAACGACAAGGTAACAAACATTTATATCGGCGTGAAAATCTCATAAGGTTACAGAAATAAAGAGAGGTTGCATTTACAAGTAAAAAAAAAAAAAAAAAAAAACGGTGGTATTTCGAAGATAAAAGTGCGAATCGACAAAACAGCAATTTTCTCTCCTCGCGTTTTAATCTCTTTGCGCGATAATAACACACAATAACGAACAGTTTAATTACGACTCAACAACACTGAAATTAAATCCGCGTCTCTCTCGCGTGTGTCTCTGCTAACTCGAAGAGAGATCGTCTTCGATCTCCTCCGAGAAAATCGCAACGAGAGAAAATTAAACGCGCGCCGCGGAGAACGAAGCGCCGTCTCTCTCTTTACTCGGAGTCTGTAACGCGAACGAGAGAAAGGCAGATGTAGGCAAGTTAACGACCCGTTATCGCGGAGTGGCCGTTGTCGTTGCTGAAACTGGTTGTCGCCGCCGATCGCAGGAAGCGGGGCGCGCAGGACCGGAGGGCAGGTCATCGTCGAGCATCGCGCGAAGAGATTCCGGGAGATGCAAAAGACGAGAGGCATCGCGCGAGAGGCGACGCACACGGAGAACCGGTCGAAAAAACGTGTGCGACGCCGCGGACGCGCAGGTGCATCCGCGTGCGCAAATGCAGCCGCGAGTTTTCGAGGAAAAGCGACAGTCAAGTCGACATTTGCACACAATGCAACGGAGTTAATTAACGAGACGTAAATGGCGACGAATTAACGCGATCGAACCGATCGAATGTCGAGTCTTATTTCGTCGCAATTTTAACTAACGGGTGGTCCGTAAAAAGAAATGTGTCGGATCTCTCGAAAGACGAGAAGACGAAGGAATTTAAAACGTCGCGTCTCGGAAAAACACGAGAAAACATCGTGTGGCCAACAACACACGGGAGATTTAATACAAGGATCCAACGCGTTTTCTTCTTCTTCTTGGGGGCCCCTTTCTCTCGTCAGGGTCCGCCCCTTCTCTTTCGAGCGACAACAATCGTTTCGGTGGAAGAAGCCTTGACTGCATTTTAAATGCGCGGCAGGTAGAGGCCTGCTATGCAAAATCGGCACAATGGCCGAAAGAAAGAAAGAAAGAAAAGAGAGGAGAGAAGAGAAGAAGAGAGAGAGAGTATATATCGCCGTGGAAGACACACCGCGGATTAGCCGAGCGACATCCTTGTCGTCTTGAGTTGGTCTCTTTTGTCCCCCTACTGTCTATTCTATCGATTACAAAGACCAGATCTCTAAAACCGACTCTCTCTCTTTCTCTCTTCTTTATCTCGAGTTTGTCACAGGTATTATTACCGTTTTACATTATAAAAAACTCCATTAACATTCAAATTTGTTGCGAGAGAGTAATTATTTTGTCGTCAATTTTCCGAACAACTTGTTTTTTTATCGAAAACTGGACTGCTCGTCGCGATTAAATCGACGAATTGAATGATCGGTAATTCGAAATTAATTATCAGCAATTAACAAATCACAGTTGTTTCTCGTATTCCAGAATTGTTTTTTTTTACGAGCACAGAAAATTGCTCGCTCTAACTCGAAATGTCGCAACAAAATAATGAATATAAACCCCCCTACCCCCCACCCCCCCGAGAGCGGTATTGCGCGATTTCGTGCGCGCGGATCGAGCGCGGAAAAGGTCGGCTTGGAAATCGTGCGTATGTATCGGCGCACGTACCGTGTGTACACGGTTCGATCGTTCGGGGGTTAAGTGTGCGGCCACCATAGGCAGATGGTGGGGCACACGGAATCAAGATGGCGTAACGACCGGTCGGTCGTTCCTCAAGGATCGTTCGTTCGTTCGTTCGGTCACGCTCGCGTCCGTCTTTTATTCGCGGCGATTTGCGCGAATTCCGGAATTTTCTCGTCGGTTTGACCGCGACGAGGTGTCGACGGCGGAGGCGTCGGAAAGGACGCGCCTCTCTCGAGGACGCCGACGTCCTCGAAGAGAGATCCCCCTCGCGAGACGCGGCTCTGGCGCCGTCCTCCGCTATATCGATTGCCGCTCCGGCTGCCCATTTTCAAAATGGCGCGGGGGATACACGGTCGAAAATCCGAATGCCCTCCGAAACACCGGCCGCGCATCCCGCCGGGTGACGCCTCCTCGTCGACATTTCCCGATCGGCGCTCGCAAACAACAATCGGCGATTATTGTATCTCGATGAGAGAAAAATCGTCGAGTCAATTTTCGATACGCGACACGCACGCGCGCGCGAAAAACTCCGGTGGACGCGCAACAGATATTCGAGGGGGTCTCGTCACAAAGAAAAATCATCTGTTTTTTCTTTCTTTTACTTAAAAGAAAAAAAACCCAAAGAAAACAGAGTACGTCGAGAAAAGATCGCTCGCGGTTGACGATCGATGCGACACACGGAGAGAGAAAGAGAGAGAGAAAGAGAGAGCGAATCGCGGACACACTTGGTCGTCACCACTTTGCGATACTCACCTCTCGAATTCTCGCCGCGAGCGAGAACGAAAAATCTCCCTTGCAGCAACGGAGAGATAGATGTACGAAACGTCGACTTTGAACGCGCACTTTCCGGAGATTTGCACCTTTGTAAAAATCCCTCCTGCTTCGAAAAAATCCCGTCGGCTCGGCTCGTCCGGCACTGCGCGCGGACGGCGTCTCTCACGGGTCGCGCGCAACAGAATAATAAAAACGAGTCGCGAACGGCGGCGCGTATGTGTTTATCACGACGAAACACACTGTCTGACGTTGCGTAGGGAGTGGAAGTGCGCTCGGATCCAGGCAGGCAGATGAGGGAGAAACGTTTTTAGCGGGAGCGCGTTCGCGAACCCATCCACTTAGCTCGGTAACGCGCGACCGACTGGCGCGAGCGCGCGAGCGGAGGGGAAGCGGCGTCCGTCTGTCGGTCGGTCCGTCTGTCTGTCTTTCTGTCACCGGCGCGCGTTGCTCGCTCGCACCAACGCCGATTCTCTCTCCCTCGCCGCGGCTATCTCACTTCCTCTCCCTCCTCTCGGGATCCTTCTGCCTCTCTCTCTCTCTCTCTTTCTCTCACTTCTTCCGTCTCGCTCTTTCGAGTTGCCCTACCTCTCTCCCTCTCTTTCCTTTTCTACCGTTTCGTTTCTCCGTCCCTTGTTCTCTCTCGCAGTTTCTTTCTCCTTCTCACTCCCACCTTCGGTAGCTTCAAGTCTTTCTCCTTTCTCGCGCTCTCTCGTCACGCACACCGTCGTGCGTCGCTCTCCTCCACTCTCTTTCTCTCTTCTCGAGCGCTTCTTCTTCTCCTCTCTGTTCTGCGCGCGCTACGCCTCGTAAATCGCAGGTACACGTCGATGCCCCAATCGAGAATCCTGGAAGGGCGGCAGTGTCTGTCTTTCTCTCTGTCTCTCGGAGACTGTCCTCGGCGAAGGATGTGTATACGCGACACCCGACGACGATGTTGTTACCCGGGACGAATCACGACTCGCGGCTGCTGAGTCTCTCTCTCTACGGGTTAATGATCGATCGGGCTCTTCTCTCTCTCTCTCTTTCTCTCTCGATAGTAGCGCGCAACGGGAGAGATATCGGCTCTGCTGTACTGTGAGAGAAACGCTCCTTTGTTCCGATCGTGCGTTTCGGCGATGCCCGCGTCTGTCTTTTGTTCGCCGTAACGCGAACGCGGCCGGAGCGCGATTCGAAATCTCGCTCTCGGAGTCGAAAAAACGAGCGACGCTCCTCGTGTCGCCGAGGAGGGACACGCTCGCGAGAGGATCGTCTTTTATCCTGTCGCGCGATCCTGGCGTGTTACCGATCCGCACCGCACGACCGTCAGAGAAAGAATGAGCACCGCGAGAGAGGAACACGGCAGGGCTGTAAACGGGCGTGCTCGGAGCCCCGGGATCTCCCGTTCGCACGCAACATGGTGGCAGCCCTGACTCTCTCTTCTCCGGTTCTCTCTCTCTCTCTCTCTCTCTTTCTCTAACCAGGGAAAACGAGAAGAGGAGCGGGGTACAAAGCGGCGGAGCCGACGTAGGGCGGGGCCCTGTATTATACGGGAGGGTTATTTATTCAGAGACGCGCACACATACGCGCGCACGATTCTCCGGCCGAGGCGGCAATTTTTAAGATCGCGGTTTTCCGGCAAACGAGTCTGCGATTTGTCACGTCAAATTTGCAGACTTTGTAGCGAGGAAATCTTCGGAAAGATTCTCGCGTGTCAGAGATAACAATTAAGCGGAAGAAGTTGCTGTCATCTCGCATAGTGACTGAGAACCGCGTGTCTCGGCGCGAAGAAAAATCCACGAAACGCCACGAGACCTGATGGAATATAAAAAAGCGCGTGCGTAGTTAATAAGTCGACTCGGGCGACTCATTAATGAAACACATATAAATGCGCTTCGACGATATACTCGTCTGTATACCGATCTAATTCCCGGGGAGAACATCCAGTCTCGGAGAATAAAATCCTTTGATGAGACGTTTTTACGACGTCTTACGAGAGACCGAAGAGGGATTAAGTCCGCGCATTCCTGCAAATCGACTAAGTTTCCTCCTTCTTTCGGATTGTTTGACTCCGAAAACTGGTTTCCCGCTGTCTCTCTCAAACCCGGGCTAAATTTTAGTTAAAGACCCACGGATAATAACAATCCCCTTAAGCTCACGTTATATTCCCATCCTCCTTCCCATAACGACGCAAATAGCCCGTGTCTGACTTTTTTTTTTTCAACGTTTCTCAGCGTAACTTTCATAATCGTTTCTGCGGAATAGCGTTCTGCGCAACAATCGCGAAAATTTTCGTGGAAAATTCTTTCTCGTTTTGTGAAATAAGATAAAATTCTCACGCGCGGGCCTCGAACACGCGTCTTCCCGAGAACAGAGTTCGAATGAATGATTGAATTTCATCGTCACGTTACATTTGTCTTCAATTTGACGAGATATTTACAGTTTAATCGTTCGATTCAAAATATTCAAGATTTAATTTAATTTATTATCATTCAACGTATTAAATTATTTATTATTGTACACAATTCTCTGTCGAGACGAGCCGATAAATTCGAAGTCACAATTCTTTGCGCAACGCGCGCGACCTGTCCAATTAAAGAAAAAAAAGAAAAAAAAAACCCAGACATAATCGATTGCTCGATCGTGATTCGCTGAAATAATAAACAACGAGCGTCCTATTCCTCTCGGATATATAGATTTCACCGAGAGTCCTCCCATTGAAGACGATTAGAACAACGATTATCGCCGATCGCTCGCGTAATCTCTGCCGATTGCACGGTGCGCTACCTGGAAATCGGCGATCGTTTGGGCAACTACGGCGCTCGCTCGAGCGAAACAAAACACGCATTATATACCTGCCTGAGTGTGCTCTCGGCGAATCGCCTTTCGCTTTTGGTGGCCGGTATGAGTAACGCGAAAGGCGGCGAGTAGGGACGCGCGCGTCCTATATTGTGTATACGAGCGGACTCCGGACTCTGTTAGATAATACGTCGGCGCGAGCGGAATTTCGCGACTCGATCGTCTCGCGCGAGAAGAGGAAGCTTTCGCCAGAACGGTGCGAGAGGGGAAAGAGGGAACAAAGAAAGAGGAATTACTTCCGAGCTTCAAAGTCGCGTTTGAAGAAAGAAAAAAAAAAAAAACAACCTGCTCTATCTATCCCTCACCCGTGATGAAGAAAGATAAAAGCGGATTTTCGTATATAAAAAATTATTACGTAAGACGGAAAGTGTGAAAAAGCTCCGAAGCAACAGATAATAACCGCCTGGCTTTTTATCTTCTCTTTCGGAATTTATGTTCGACACTTCTTTTTTATCAGCCCCGAGAGAGATCGAGACGCGGGGGGAAACGTCTAGGGTGAACGGGGAGCTCGTTCGGCTCGTTACTAATTAATTTTTACGCGACCGAATTAATATATTCCCGGGAATTATATTATCTCCTTCTCTATCTCTCCGCGCGCGCCGCCGTATTTCGATGCAAGCTGCTGCTGCTGCTGCTGCTGCTGCTGCTGCTTCTCGCTGCCACGCCCATGAACGATCGTTTCGGCTCCAGCCGCGAAAGAGCGAGATACGTGCGCGGCACGTAGCACTTGTAACGCAGAAACCGCGAAAAACTTCGCGTTCTGAGTTCGCGCGACGAGGTAAGTCGAGAGAGAAAGAGAGAGAGAGAGAGAGAGAGAGAGAGAGAGAGAGAGACGCGCGATGTTTCGCCGATCTCCGATCTCATTTGTTTCACAGACGCGGCATTTGAAGAACCCCACGCGGCTCATCGCGATATGCAAACCTTTCGCTACAAATCCCTTGTCCGATCTGTCACGATCTCGCGCGCTAATGGCCGACTATGCTAATCAGAACCCTACGCGGCAACAGTTCTCTCTCTCTCTCTCTTCTCTTCTCTCTCTCTCTCTTTCTTGTCTAAACAATTAGACGAAGAGAAGATAATTTCTGATTCGCGCACTCGCCGCACGACGGCTTACTAATTAAATGCAATTATCTGTTGGCAAACAAGTTCGATTCCCTCGTGATTTGCCGTTTGCAAAGCGAAACTGTGCAGATTACATTGTACGTTGGCACGAATTCAAAAGCGGGATAATTAAAAACAACGCGTCCCCCGAAATAATTGTAACAAACTTGACGAACGTTGTAAAATTGTTAAAAAAAAAAAAAAAAAAAAAAAAAAAAAAANAAAAAAAAAAAAAAAAAAAAAAAAAAAAAAAAAAATCCAAGCGCTTGAGAGAAAATATCCTTCGGCTGATTGAGAATCGCGCCGTGTGTAAACACACACGCGAGGAGAAAAATCATCGCTAGAACATCTGTACGATTTGTCGGGGGGAGGGCACCTGTCGCTTGAATCCAAGGACGAGGGTATCAATATTTATCAGACTGGCCTGTCGCCGGTATGCAAAACTGCTTACGCATTGCGCGTTTGAGCGAGGCGTCGTGATGATAATCCGTCTGGAATGTGTAAGCTCGAGTCGTCTCGATTCACGACAATCAATCCCTGACGCACTTGGCAGCTGGGATCGCTTTCGCGGTTTGCCTGCCACCGGAAATCGACTATCACCGAGACGGCAAAGGGAAGGACGAAGATCGCTTTCTCGGTACCCGAGCCGCGTTTCTGAGTGCGCAAATATATACATATATGTGTTTGTGTGTGTGTGTGTGTATTGCGCGTCAACTAAAAGGCGCACCAGCGCATTCCGTGCCGCTCGCACTTCTGTGTGTGAGTAAAACAATACCCGGATAAGGACTTCCTACGAAAGAAAACCTACACCGCGCTTAAACATCCCGACCCCTCTCGTGATTATCGATTTACAAACAATGTCAAACGTAAATTTCCCGAGATATTCAATTATTTTCTCTGTCACAATTTGTGTCTGCAAATGAACACACAAAAAAATGTAAATTAAATTTGTATTTGTCAATTGAATTAATTAAATTAAGAAACCGCGGTTTTTTTGATTCAACGAAACAAGCACCGTTCGATAAAAGTATACTCGGAGTTACGGACGGAGCTGTCTTTAGGAATTTTATTTTCCGGAGAGATCTTATCAAGAGCATTTTCTTGTTTTAATTTCCTAAAGACTCTCGAGCACGCAGTTCGAGTTATGTAATTGTCGCGCTTCAAAACTTCGTCGCGACACAAAAGCGGTCAAGCGAGCACTTTTCCGCGCGACGTTTCGCGGAGAGAAACAATTACGCGAATTCATTCAATGCGAAAGTTAAGAGAAGTAACGAAACTAAAAACGAACTTTTTAAGAGGAGTTAGCAAAGCGCGTCTTGACGCGGTGTGTTCCTTCCGGGGCGCCAGGAATCGCAACAACATCGCTGTCCGCGAGAATTAAAGATTCTAGTAGACGAATCGTAAAAAACCGAGCGGCACAGCAATCTCTCTCGCGGCCGG